TTCTTTATTAATTAATGGTAATAAAACATATTCACAGCATACAGAGGAGAATCACACATCAACTAGTGATGTGATTTTGACACACACAGGAGAGAGAACACAAAATGTTTCCTTTGAGTGAAAAGGTTAGTGTATAACAAGATGTTTTGAAAGAGAGAGACCACATTCACATAGCTTTCATTTTAGGGTATTGAAATAATTGTTCTATTTCGTTTTTAATAAAAATATTGATCTATCATTGTGCCTAGCTCATAAACTAAACACTATATAATTATGCACATATACAAAATGTATGTAAGGTTCAATATTAAAGATAGTTTTAGTCAGCAGGGGATTTCAGTGGAAAGGAGGATCTTTGGGATTAGATCTCCCTAAAGACCACTCAAGATGTTATAGGAAACAGTTGTAAATTTTCAAAATTTAAAGGAACTAATAAAAAAAGTAAAGAATGTATAAAACCCTTCATACATTCCGGCCTCCACTATGACTAGAGAAACATGGTACAGATTGAGACAAGCACCAATGGAATCCTCTAAAAGAAATATATCTTGGGCTAGGCTTTTTATAAAAACAAAGAAGTGTGGCTACTGACAGAGTAGCAATGCAAACCAAAAAAGTTCATAAATGAGACGGTTTGATGTAACTGATGCTGAGAGAAATTAGCTATTTTGGGGTTTTTATTATTATTATTAAAAATCTCCACCTCCTCCCCTCCTCCCACTTCCCTCCCCTTCCATACTCCCCTCCCCCTCCTTCTCAAGGCCAAAGAGCAGTCAGGGTTCCCTACCCTGTGGGAAGTCTAAGGTCCTCCCCATTCCCCTCTATTTTATTTTACTCTTATGGGCTCTTGGCCATCACAAAACAGAATGTGTCAGTAAAGCAAAGTACAGAAAAAGGCATTTTTTTTCTTGCAATGAATTCTGACTACTAAAAGTTGCCTATGAGATAATATATTTGAAATATCATTTGTATTTAAGATGAGCTATGAATTTATTGTTAATTCTCTATTATTATACTATATTAAGAACCTCTCAGAGATTGCATTTTTGGCTCTAGCATATCCAATTAATGATCCTTCTGCCATATTCATGCTTTAATGCTATTAAGCACACATAATGTGTTTCTCTTCCACTAAAATGAACTGAGACTTTACCAACGGATCGCCAAAGAGCACTGTATTAAGCCCCTATCTGGACACATCATCAACTCTGACATGAAAACGGGAGGTAGAAAGGCAAAAGGGAAGTTAATATTGCAGCTAATTTCAGAATCTAAGAGAATTTTGAAAGGTATATATTTGCCAGTCTCTGACAGTTTCCAAACTGTTTGGCAAACAAACACCAAAGTGGGTTGTAATATTCACTTATTTATAAATTATAAAAGGTGAGACACTGTTATAAAAAAAAAACAACTTCTCACTTCAGTAACAAGCCTCACTATCATGACCTGACATGCCACCATGTCCCATCCAGGTATAGGATGCTTACTACGGCAAAGCAGAGTTCACCACAGCTTGAGCAGTTTTCATTACGGCAGTTCCCCATTCTCTCTCACTGACCAGATAAACTCCCTGTAACATAACTCAGTGGAAAGAGCAAGAGTTCCAGGGTCATATAGAACTGAAAATAATTTCCCATTCTACCATTTGCTTTGAGCATCTTTTTTAGTCTCTCTGATCCTCAACCTCCTCACCTATAAAAATAAGGACAATACCCCTGAATGGTTTGCTCTATGCATTAGGTTGTAACTTAAAAGTACATAGTAATTTGCCTGGCTCATGCAATGGCTCAATGGATAAAGCACTATTCAAAGTATTTGCTTTAACTGTACCATTTTGTATTGGTGTTTTAATCCCTCCTTCGTGTGCAAATGACAGCCCGTTAAATACAACTGTGATGAACTTGTCCTGAAACGGTTCTTTACCCTGCTAACTATCTGTTAAGCTCCTGCATCTTTTTATGGTGCTATATGACAGCATGTTACCATGCCATTGGGGACCACAGGGATAATCCACTGTAACAGGCTGTGAATGATCTACTGGATGATTCAGTACCTGTAATATTATCAACAAGAGACTATATAATAATTCAGATGGACATTTCAGTTCAAACCATTTCAAGTTCACAGAAATCAGTACAGATATGATACCCCACTAAACATAAATAGACTTGATTCTGGCATATACCTGTTTAAAACAAATATCATCAAACCAATTAAAAAATAAAAACTAACTCAAAGTCATTTGTAAGGGACACATCTAAATACACAGTTTAATGTAAATTTATAAAATGGCATACCAAAAATACTAAATCTAATTTATTAGTATCACAAAAAATAATCTTGAAGGTAAAAAAGATTGGGACATAAAAGGTTCAATTCACAAAAAAGATACTATTTTATACAAATATGAACTTAACAATTTATGAAAAGTATTTGAAAGAAAATGTCTGAAATTCAAATAAATGTACAAATGCATTTAATACTGGATGTTTCAAACATACCCCCAGTAATTGTTATGTCAAACCACAGTAATAATAAGCCAATAAATAAAGAAAACTGAACAACATGTTGATCTAATGTGCATCTACAGAAGAGTACATCTAACAATTAAGAGCATGTGTTACTTTTGTTTTTACTTATTTTTAAGACAGTCTTTTCTCATTTTACATACCAATCCCAGCTCCCACTCTCTCCCCTCCTCCTACTTCCCCCAACTTCCCCCACCACCACACCCTCTATCCACTCCTCAGAGAGCGAAAGATTTCCCATGGGGACTCAGCATAGTCTGGCACATTGCTTTGAGGCAGAACAAAGGCCCTCCCAACTATATCTAGTCTAAGTAAGGTAACCCTCAACAAAGAACGGGCTCCAAAAAACTCAGTTCAAGCACTAGGGATAGATCCTGGTCCCACTGCCAGTGACTCCACAGACTGTCCCCAGCCACACAACTGTCACCCACATTCAGAGGACCTAGTTTGGTCCTATGTAGGTTCCCCTGCTGTCAGTCCACGGTCAGTGAGCTCCCACTAGCTCTGGACAGGTGTTTCTGTGGCTATCCCCATCATGGTCTGGACCCCTTTGCTCCCAAGCACATACAGTTTAAAAATTAAAACCAATCTCATTTCAGAGAATCTATAACTCATTTGTTTCAATGTGTGACCAAAAAAATAAAATTGAGTTGATAAAGAGTAGTAAAAAACTGTCCAGGAAAATCGTATATTTAAAAATTCAAAATATACCTCCAAACTATTAGAGTAAAAGAAGAATAAAAATTAGAAAACACATAGAACTGAAAAACAGCAAAATAATAATCAAAGGTAATAAGATGCAACTGGATTTATGGTTTTACAAATTAACTATATAAAATTTAAAGCAATATATAAATACATATCTATGACCTTTTAAAAAAGGAATGAAGTTTAAAAAATTAATAAACTGCCAGGCATGGAGGGGTATACTTGTAATTCTAGCATTCAGAAGACTGAATTTGAGGCAAGCCTGAGTTACTAAGTGAAGCTGTTTCAAAAATCAAAAAGAAAGAAATTAGAAAGAGAACAAGCAAAAGAAAGGTAAGAATTGAAATGGAAGATGAATATAGAACAAGAAATTAATAAAACAGAAAACAAAATATAAGAGGAGGAAACAACACATCCAAATCTTGGCTCTTAGCAAAAACTAATAACACTGTTACGTCTCTGGCAGAAGTAAATGACAAAATAAGGGCACAAATAATATTTGCAATAGAAAAGGAACACAGTTATGGCTGTAGTAGCTATTACAAACCTAATAAATTTCATGAACTATTTTAGGTGAAATGGATATATTCCCAGAAAAGTACGAACTACTAGGAGAGTAAGGAATTTAGAAAAATTGTAGTGCTCATCCATTACGGAAGAAACCAGATGTATACTGTCTTGTAACAACCAAGTGTCCACTGCTGAAGTTGCTAAGCTAATATGTAATCTTTGATGGAACTTATTAAAGCAACATATGACAAGAGGCACATGGCCATTTAACTAGCACCCCTAGGACCAAGGATCAGAAGGTTAGATATGATTGCAGATGCACCAGCTGTGAGTAAAGACCAAACAGTACGAAGTTCTGAAGTCCAAGTCCAGAGTGTGACGTGGGTTTGACTTGGCAGATCTTTCGTGCTTTAAAATAAGAAGAGACACCATGTGGGTTTTATAAAAACAAACAATAGGAAAATCATAATAAAGCCAGTCCCCTAAGGTTCTAAAACAAGGCCATGCCATTTCCAAATAAGAAATACAAGCTACTCACAAAACACCTCCTATGCCCCAGAAAGGACAAAACAGTCACTGTGGACATCAGCTTACCAATGAGGACAGGAATACGAGCTGAGTTCCAACCAACTCACCAGCCATAAGGTCAGGCAGGTCTGGCAATATTCCAGAAGATCTGGGACTGAACAAAACAGGGACAAAGAGTACAAGCAGATGTCGCTACTAAAGCCTATGCCATCCTCTTTTCTTTAAATGGTACCTTTAACACATGGAATGTCTTTTAACAAGCAGTTAAAAAACAAGAAAACAATCCATAAATAGGTCAAGTGAGTATATCACCATGACTCAAAGCTGAGCTGCAGCTACATAGCAACCCAAGCAGAGTCAACCTCAAGATCAAAGTGGGTAGATTAACCTAGCAGGGCTCCAGGTGAGGTACCTAAGGGAACAGAAGTGTCTCAATGCTAGAAAACATCAGGATAGATAGTGGAGAGTGCTTCGGCTGGTTGGTGAAGGGTCTGTAAGAAAAGAAATTGAAAGATCAAAGGTGTGAATGGGTAGAGTGAAGGCTTGATGCAGCTGGACCTATGAAGAAGCATTAGTTTCTGCAGGGGTTACACTAGTTCACACTTTCCCCTGCAGTATGAGGATTCCTACACGCTGTGTTTATTGGACTTCTTGGTTTTGTGAGTATTGAGGCAAGCCTCTTAAAAGTTATGATAAAATGAAACAAGCTGGAATACTTAGTCATACCATAAGAGTTTCTGTAGCTTTGAAAAGGTTTTTACAGCTGAGAACACCAGGCTGAGCACATTCAAATGCAGATGCAGCTTGAGCAGCCGGAATTTACTGAATATACGACACGCCAGACCCTACAAATAAAAAAAGGGCAAAAAGAGAAATATGCTTCTCTTTTCTCATAAGCTTAAATCAGTGGATACAGATAATATATATTAACATTACACAGTCACAGAGGTAAATTCACAGGGAGTGATTAAATGGAAACATGCAAGAACTTATGTGATGAGGGTCAGAGCCCTCAGTACTGACTGTTCTTCCACAGAACCTGGGTTTGATTCCCAGCACCCACATGGCAGCTAAAATCCGTCCAAACAGTTCCAGAGAATCTGATAGTCTTTTCTGGTTTGCATGCATATGGTATACAAACACACATGCAGGCAAAACACCCATAAACACAAAATTAAAATAAGTAAATCTCAAAACTAAAACAAAAGTTATATATAGAGAGGAGGGAACTCAAGAATAAAGAAGTTAGGGACAGTGTTCCTGAGAACCAGATTAGCCACAGAGATGGGGGATTGGCTGTGGGGACAATAATTACTGCAAGTGACATGAAGTACGTGAGAGATTCTCCCATAAAAAGAGAAAGACACCAAAGCAAAGGAAACAAATCGAATTTCAGACACACTTAGAAGCCTGGGAAGTTATTAAAGGACTTAAATGAAAGATTGGTGTGCTCAGCTTTACCTTGGACAACACAGGATGCAGCATAGAGGACGGATGACTCAAGAGTGGGTATGAGAGCTAGCTAGAGGCTATGACAACAGTCATATACACATATGCCTTCCCAATTTCTTTTTAATATGGCTACTAGAATTTTTTGTCATATATGGAGCTTGTACTCTGTTTATATTAGCTAGGGTTAATCTAAGAAATAACAAAATCATATTTTCACAATCATATTCATCAAATACTAATATACTGAAAACATTTCCTGTTAACACTACAGACAGGGAAATGAAGACATGACACAGACTGAGAAACTAAGAGTACAGCAAATGTAATGATTTGTAAGTAGAATGCCGAGGAGAAATTACTGATCTGCATATTACTCCTCCTCCTCAGTATGGAGAACAGCCACAGGTAGAGAGGAAATGAGATACCATAAATGATGTCAGTAAGAATACAATGGATTTTTAAAGAATTATTTTTAATTGCTATTTGTGTGTTCACATGCCATGTGCATATAGGTACTCTTGGATAACAAGACATCAGACTTCCTGGAGCTGTAGCTACATACAGTTGTATTAATGACCTCCAGACATGAATGCCAGAGACCAAATGCAGGTCCTCTGGAAGAGCAGCAACCACTCTCAACCATTGACCCATCTCTCTAATCCCCAGGGAAGAACCTTTAAAGGTTCTCTCAATACTAGAATATTAAAAAAAAAAAACACCTCAGAACATGAAGATGTTGACATTTAAATAGCTATTCTCTTTTAAACAGAGTTGAGAAGGACCATATGTTGTTAAGATTAGTGAAGGTCTACGTGAATGATTGCATATTGTTCTGCCCCATTCATTTGGATTATACCAGAAGTCTTAAAGGTACCTTTCTGTATGTATTGCCTAGAATTTACAGGAAGCTCTTTGAAATCTACATATGTACATGAAGATAAAGCAATTAGATGGAGGGTGTTAGCTCAGTGCTAAAGTATTTTTCTAGCCCATGTAAAGCCCTAGGTTTGAGTCCCAGTACCTAGACCATTAAAACACACACACACACAAACACACACAAACACACACACACACAGAGTCCTGCCATTGGTGACATGTATGTTTGTATGTGTGTCTGCCTGTGTGTGTGTTTCTGTGAACTACCATTTTATCTGACTTTCTGTTCAGATAGCAAACTGACATTTTAAAATATAAGAAATAAATTTTCTTTAGCGTACAGAATGCTGAAGGGCATAGCCTTGAACGGATTCTCACAGTGGGATGCTATAAACAAGTGAACTGCGAGGATCCAAAACTTAAGATTCATGGGGGGGGATGAAAAATCAGATGTGTATGGTGTGGGGCCAGATAGTAGGGAGATAAAAGAACATTCCAGAGTAGCCATAAATTATGTTCATCTCAACTACAAATTACAAGTTGAAAAAAAATATTTTGTCATCAACACCAAATAAATATTTTAAGTATTTTTTTAATTCTTGGAAGTTTGGGTACTTCTTCTGTTCTTTAACTTCATTGGTCTATTAGTAAAGAAAAATTTTAAGAAAATGTATAATACTGTATTGAGGTTGAATGACAACCAAGCCCACAGTCATAGCATTTTGGATGATAGCAAATGAATAAGATAATCCCAAAAAATTCAACGCTAAATACATTCTCACTAAGCCCACTAAACATTCACAAGCCTCTGGACACTCTTCTACAATCTATTCAAAAGCCAAAAAAAAAAAAAAAAAAAAAAAAAAAAAGGCTGCTTTGGAGGTCTTTGCTGTGCTGTGCTAAAGAAACCAAAATCCTCTTCTCATTCTATAGAGGTCAGGGCTGTTGCAGAGAACATGATGTGGAATTTGCTGGCAACTTCTTAAAAGATAAACAGGAAATACTATGTCTGGCCATGTTTAGATATGAAACACTAGTTCAGTGCCAATTAGACAGGGCCAAATTCAAATTAGTTTCTCATTTAATAGGCCTCGAACCACTTTCAATGTGTGTGTTCTGCTCAGTACTGTTCAGCTAGAGATAAACTAGACTAGTAACTCCTCCAGTCTCTGACTTTTGTGATCTCCCAGAATAACTGTAGCTGGGATGAAGAGAATGGATCCAGGTAAATTTAAATCAATCAATTTCATTTCTGAGCACCAGTGCATAAGGGGAAGCTGAGGTTTCTGTATTATGTATGGTTAAACCTAAGAGTTTGGTTTAACCATGCTGACAGAGTAAAAGATTATGTGCATGTTTATTCCTGCCTAAAATTCATTGATCTTTAAAACACAAACGTATGCACACACAAATGCACGTGCACACACACACACACACACACACACGGAGAGAGAGAGAGAGAGAGAGAGAGAGAGAGAGAGAGAGAG